TGGATAGAAAATGCCATGTTATTGATGATTTATTATGATCAATGTCATTCATTAAAATACTACAATTTAATTTAATATTTGTATTTGGTTCTACATAAATATGTGTAGGATGTATAATCATTGGTATTTGTATATGTAAATGTATATATATACTAACACTTGCTTTTCGATTAGTAATTTTACATATATATGTACCTTCATCGGATAGATTTATTTGATAGATTTCTAATGACCAAAAAGAATCTTTTATTGATGTTGAATAAAATGATATTGAATAACGTTTATCAGTTGTAAATAATTGTTTTCCAACAACTAATGGTGATGATATAGATGTATATGGATCTATTTTAAACCATGTTACATGATATTCACCTAAATCACGTATATGACAAGTTAATATAGCTGTAGAAGATAAATTTAATGTTTGATTATGTGTTTCAGTAATGATTTGTGGAAATGTGTTATTAGCTGTTGTTATTGTTGCTATTTGTATCATTAAAATGACTGAAGAAAGAGAAAAAAAAATGATTAATTAATCTGAGAAAATAGTTTCTATTCTTAATAGAACTTCAAAGATTTTTCTCTCATGAGAATAAACTTACGGAGAATAAATAAAAAAATATGTTTAATAATAATAATAAGAATATTGTTCATTATTAAAGATTTGAAAATCAAACATAACTTGTATTTTTAATAGGTTTTCATTTGATACCACGTATGATATTTGTTTATAGTCGATTGTATAATAAAGCAACTGTCGTTTTCTTCTTATAACTAGAACATGTTGGTACTAGTAGATCAATGAAACAATGTATACAAAAGAAGATGATTGTAGATTATGTTTCTTCTCTCTTTATAACGATAAGGGAAAGGCGAGAAGGAAAGAGAAGGAGGAGAGCGACAGACAGAGAGAGAGAGAGAGAGAGAGAGAAAGAGAAGAAAAATAAACTTGGACTAATGGAATTAGGAATAGAAAGAAAAGATATCTAGCTTAGCTATATGGATTAAAGCTAGCGAAAAAGAGCGATCTACACAAGAACAATAAATAGAATATTTATTGCCTCTTGTTCAAAATAGATTTTTAGATAATCAAAAGAAAGATCAAACAGCGTACATACAAATAGAATAATAACACCTCTGATTGTTTCTCAATTTTTAACATAATCGAGCTTTTACCAGGTGATTTAATCATTGAATAGATCACACCATCACATACTTCATTTTTTTTAGTGCAATTAATTTTCCTACTGTGCGTGCGTGAAGTGACAAATACACTTATTATTTCTGATTCTACTAGTACTCTAGAAAATAAAAAGAAAATTCAGACGCACTATCGTGAATGCATGTCTATTCGAGTCAATTTGATTTTGACGCTCTTGCATTCACTCATTGACTCATACAAATAGTAATGCCTGTCACTGGCAGAGTAAGTTATTGAGAATCATCATATGACAACATCAAATTGATTTCTACTATGAAACGTTCTTTTATTGTATTTATACAAGTAAGAAAACAAATATGTTTATATATGCTACACAGGTTATACTTTATAACGACTAGTTCATAATTAAAGAAGTGTTGAACAATGAATAACAAATCAAGGTCCTTTTTTTTTTCTTTTCACTTTGATTCTTGAGCGTCACTATTAATAATACATCAATAGCTCAAAGACTCTCAAATAAAGAAAAAAAAATGAATATATATAGCTGGTATTATGTTTTATTTGTTTACATTCTTGATAAGACTTAAAACCGATCAATGGTAATAACAAAATAGAAATCTTGAATATATTCTTTATTGACATGTGCAAGACATTTGTGATGGTGATCAAGCGCGTCAGAGAAATTAATGTGAACAAGATGAGCATAAACATTATACAGAACAAAAAAAAGAAAAGAAAATGTAATATATGATGGTCAATGATCAAGTATTATTCTAGTCTAAACTGATAAGAGACATGCCATATTGTACAGTGTATGATATCTTGAGAAATTATATTGTCTTGTTTTTGTTACGGATGATATAAACAACAGATTGAATTTAATTAGATTGAGACGTTTCTTTATCGTATAGAAATGTCTCGTAAGAAAAGAAAAAAAAATATATCAGATATAGAAATGCGTTTGCTTTTTTTTCGGCTATATAAACATATAATTTTCGTCGAATGTATAAAAGTGATGATTTCTGCATGACAACAAGTGCAATATTATTAATGACGAAGCTTCAATTGAATGATATAGTCCACTTATTGTAGCGATGTCTAAAGTGACCTTTTTAATCATTCAAACAAATATTTTCCTCTTAGTTTAAAATGCACTAAAGTTGTCTGGTGACATTCAATTGATTGTATATTTTAGTAAGAGCAAAATAAAATTAATTTTCAATGGAAACTGATTTTTGTTTGGTCTTTAATAGGATTGTTCGAAAATGACAAATAAAGATTCAAATAAGATATTGATAATACATTGTTTAATGTCATTATTGAATTGATTTGATCTCGTTTTGTCGACACTTTTTATTCAAAAATATTTTCTAAAGAAAAATAGATACAACTTTCTATTAGAGAAAGTTATTGTAATAATCGAATTGAGAACATAATCCATTAGTTCATAAGAGAGCAGCAAAAAAATATTGATGTAAGTTTTTACCAATTGTTTTAAGGTAAACAATTTTTTGCTCACCGAATTTATTATAAATGAAAATGAGTGTGGCACGAGTTCTAATGAGGTCTTCTCTTCACTCACATCTTCAAGTGACCTTGAGGTGGTTTCAAATATTGACCTGTACTCTTATTAAAATGTCACAAATATCAACGGCTCGCGATAAAATGCTTGCTGAATATCGGCGTTAATTATCCCAAACAGCTCCAAAAGAACAAAGAATTCGGTGAAAAATATAACTCTCAAGACGTAGTCTATTGGTATATCTATTCAATATTTCTTAACCGACAACCCAAGCGAGCATTGAGAATAGAAAGTGTTGATATTATTTTCAAGTTTCGAATGATTATCATCAATTTATATCGGAAATTCACACAAGTATATGAATCTATGATCTATAAGACACCAATGTGAACAGTGTATCGGGATTGACGTCTGATGCTTTCTGAAATGGAGAAGGATACGTAATTATCTCAGTGGTCTCATTTCAATGGACAATTTCGTGTAAGCCACTAATAACGAAGAGATAGCATGCAGTTTTCTACTAGAGTTTAGACAAGGACAAAAAAAAGCAATTATAGCAAGTTTATTTAAACTGACTCTTGATGTTAAAGTTGCTTGAGAAATGAACATACCATTTTTACACATACACAGTCTAAGTCAATGTGAATATGAAGAGAAAATTTTGTTGAGTATGGATACAGTATTTTAGATTAAAGAAATCAATCAACAATCGTCAAATTTATAGCATTGAACAGCAACCATGTGCATGAATTATGAAGACCATCATACGGTCATAGATTTTGTTTTTCAACTATCCTTATCATTCGACTTTAGAAGTTAT